AAGAGGGCAGATTCACACTAGATGCAAGGAAGATTTTTACAATGAGGGTGGTGAAACACTGGCACAGGCTGCTCACTGGCAGTAGTAGATGCCCCATCCCTGGAAACATTTAACGCTGGCTGGGGCTCTGAGGAACCCAATCTCATTGAAGATGTCCCTGCTTATTTCAGGGGGTTTGGACGAGATGGCCTTTCAAGGTCCCTCCCAACTCAAACTGTTCCATGAGATGCTCCATTTTAGATGGTGCTTAAGAGACAAGTCATGACAACAGTCACTTCAATAAATCCTAGAATCATTTAGGGTGGAAAAGACTTTTAAGGTCATGCACAGTTTCTCAATTCCCCTCTCTGGACAGGATGTAGCTGTTGCTGTTCTGTTGAGATTTTGGCTGGAGATGTTCTAATATCCCCTGCAGTGATTTTTTTGGGCTGCACTTTATCTAAACCATAGATAAAAAACCCTGTTTGCGCACTGTCTCTGTGAAGCAACTTGGGTTCACGTAAAGGAGTTGTGTTTAGAGCTGTCATGAATACACTATGAGAAGGTGGTTGCTAATGGAGATGAGCAAAATGCTGTGGGTCAGCTTACCTGCACTGAACCTGGTCTGGCTGCAGCCTGTGGACTAAATCCTGCTTCGTGTTGGCAGAGGCTGATGCTCCAACAAATGAAGATGTTATCCGGATCATCGCTGCTCAGCTCGCTGAGATTGGAGACAAGCTGGACAAAGATGTCCAAGGAAATGTAGTAAATGATCTAGTGCAGCACTTTCTGAATGAGAATCTCTCCAGAGAGGTGAGTGAAAAGCCACCTGGCTAGCAGTTCCCCTTTTGAATGTTGTGCGTCCTTCCTGCTGTGACTTTGAAAACAGCAAGCTTGCGACTTCTGTATCTTTGCTATTTTGCTGATTTAATTCTTGCCATCTTAAAATTCAACCCAAACACTTACATTTGGAGATTTGTTAGAGGTGATTCTGTAGCCTGTGGCAGAAGTTACTGTGTAAATTTGGTTCCTTGGGCTCATCTCCTTTCTGCAGATGCTGTAATTACAGCTGTGGGTAGCTGTGGAAAAGGACTGACTTTCAGAGGCATTTTGTCCTTGTTCTGTTGGCCCAGTGACTTACCTTTGAAAATTAACTGTCTGGTTAAGGCTTAGTATTTGTCCTTAAGATCTTTGGACTTTGGTGCCAAGTCCTGTGTGCCTGCTGATTGTCATGTGGGTAAAACAAGCAGGTTAGTGCCGGAACCTTGACTTGTGCTTGTTACTGAACACTGAAGAGACAGCAAGTCATGAGACCCTTTTTTAGTGCCATAACTGCTCAGTGCTAGGAGTAGCAGGGGGGTTTGGCCTGGATGGGTGACCTGCTGGGGTGGCCTCTCCAGGTGGCCTCTTCCTCTTTGATGCAGTTGGCCCAGCATCTAACATGCCTTGCTGCTCTGCAAGGGAAATAGAGTTGGAAGTCTCTTGTGTTAAAAAGGAAAAAGAAGGATGTCTAAGGATTAGATCCACATCTGGATCAAGGGCCATAGTTTGCTTCCACAGAGCCTTCTTGGCATCTTCAAGGTAACTGTGGCTTTCTGGCTTGTTTGGCTTTCTCTGTCTGTGATGAAGTTTTCTATGCTCTACAAGCTAATGCTTGTAGAACTGAGGACCCACCTTCTTGCCAAAAAGGCAGGATTGAATGACTTTAACGAATCCTTTTGTTTGGTTGGTTTTTTTGTGATGTGGGGTTTTTCTACTAGGGTTTATCACTACACATATTCCAGCAAAGTCTGACCATTCCTCCCTCCCACTGCCTTGCTCTCTACCCAGTTAAGTTCCAGATCTTCAAATTTATTGCCTAACCTTTTAGTCTTTGATAAGACTGAGATATAAACCTAGTTGCTGACCTTGCTTCTTCACATTAGTAATATAGCTTAGTGTGTGCATATTCTTCTGTCTTCGGAAAACTGATCTTCCACTGACCTTGGGAGCAAGGCTTGGACACCTTCACTAGCTCTTCCTTCTGTGAAGGCTTTTCTGTGAAACTTCCTCTGCCTTTTTCCAGTCCCCACCTAAGCTTGTAGCCCAGATCTACGCTGTGGTGGTTTGTCCTTTCCTGGGAGCCCCAGAATTCCTTTACCATTTCAGGACTTGACAGGCTCGGTGCAAACCCTGGGGAGGAGGGGGCTGTTGCATCCTAAGTGGGTAAGGTGCTGTCTAAATTTTCCAGTGGTGGTGTGCTGCTTCCCTTTCATTTTGTCTTGGGTGAGCAGCTGAGCTCAGAGAGAGTGATCCTTACTGTCATTCAGGGTATGTAGCAGGCAGGCTGCCCTGCCTGGGAGGAAGGGGAGGGACATCCTGTGGTTGCTGAAAGAAGCACATCTGTTACCAGCAGTCCTGGCAGGCTGTGCTGAGACCCTTTTCTCCCCCAGCTGTTGCACTGAGATCCCTCTCCTCCTTCCATACAGGAGATAATGCGGCACATGTCAAGGGTAGTGAGAGAGCTTGCACAAGCCATCCCCGCAGACATGGAACAGGAGAGGGTCATGTTGGTGCTAGCAATGGTCTTGACTAAGAAAATTGTGAATACAGTGCCCTCCCTTCTACACCGTGCCTTCAACGTCACTGTGGACTTCATGAACCAGCAGTTCCACAACTACATTGATGAAATGGTGAGTGCTGTCAAACAGCTCGGTGCAATCACAGCCGGCCTCTCTGCTGCCCCCCTGGCTGGCCTGGGTTATTCCCAGAGGGGTGGCCTAGCTCTGAACTGCCTGTGGTCTGCTAGGCTCCCTGAAGTGCTCTGGAAGTCAGGAGGGAACGTCAGTCGTCTCTAAGGTGTGCCTGAGGGGGTGTCACAGCTTCTGCTTGCCCCTCTCTGACAGTAGCCAGGGAACAGAGAGCTGTGACTGCTCCTCTCCTCCCTGCAGTCTCTTCAGGGAGCTGTGCCAGTAAGACTGGGGTTAATCATGCCCTCAGGGAAGAAAAGCCTGACCTGAGCTCTGATGGCTGTACATCCTGAATGTCTTGATCCTGAGCTCTCTGCTCTCGACTTCCTTGGCTCCCCAGAGCTTGGCAGAACTGGAAGGGGAAAGGAATTGTCCCTGAGAAACAACCCTAGGAGAGCAACAATGAGAAATGGTCAGATCTGGTTTGTTCACTGTTGGAGCTTCAGCATAGGTGGATTCTGTGCAGCTCATGGGCAAGGTGGGGTAGAGGCCAGGGCTTCAGCTGTCTGGGAAGGGGAGAGGACACACATGTAGTGAGATGTGGCGGTACCCAAGAATGAGTCTGAGTGGTCAGAGCTGTGATCCTGCCACTCTGGGCCACAGTGGTGACACAGCTGTGGGGAGCTGCAGGTCTGTAGGACACCCCTGTGCTGCAGCCTTGCCATGGGCAGCACTGGCAGCCACCTGCAGAGGGGCTGGGCTCACCCTGTGTCCCAGGACTCAGCACCCTGTTCCCTGCCAGGCAGCAGGGTATGGTGTCACTGCAATGTCACTTAGCACTGCCCTTCCCTTCACTCAGTTTGGCTCCAGAGCGCTGAGTTATCCCAGAAATGGGTCACTCGTGTGGGACAGGCCCTTCCTGCTGCCCCAGCTGGCTCCAAGCACTGAGCAGCTGCTGGTTATCCCACCCCAGGAGGTGCCATCAGGAGCGGGCTGGAGCGGGGCGCCAGGGGCTATCCCACACTGTTCCCCTGGGATGTCTCCCTGGCGCTGGCACGGGAAGGAGGGTGATGGCAGCCGCGGAGCACGGCAGGTGGCAGTGTCGGGGCGCGGTTCGCGGCGCTGGGGACGCGCAGAGGTCCCCGGGAGCTGCCGGGCTCCCTGGGCTGGGTGGGCTCAGGGCTTGCCGTGGAGGGTGGCTCTGCTGCTGTTAATGCCCGTTCTGTTTCTCTCCCTCCAGCTGGGTGAGTGAGCTCTCCTGCCCTCCACGTGGAGAACACGGATTCTAGAAGGCTGAACTTTTCTTGGTGTTTGCTTTTTAACTTCTGAGATACTGTGGAAGTGTCTCAGTATCTCCCACAGCTGTGAAAGGGATGGCAGAGCTCCATAGATAGGTTTTTGTAGATTAGCACAGCTCTGCCAGTACCTGCAGGGAGAAGTGCTTGCCCTTTGTAATTTTAGGATATTTTTTTCAGGTTCTTTTTTTTTTTTTTTTAGCAATAGCAGAGTTTGTGCAGACCCTGGCTTGTACCTCCAGAGGCCCAGTGGGGGCAAGGCCTGCACCCTGTGTTTTTTCTAATCAGCTGCAGCATTTTGCTTTAGTTATTCGCTTGCCAGCCCTGCTCTTGCAGCTGAGCCATGCTGAGTGCTGCTCCCCGGAAGGCCTCAGGCTGTGAAATGGATGGTTGATCCATACAGATCACAAGTCATCTGTGGGGTGGGTGGGAATCAGGCCTACCTTGATGGGGAGCTGGCAGCAAGAGAGAACAGAGCCCTGAAGGACAGAGGGGTGTTTGGCCAGATAAAGATACTTCAGTATCCATCACCATCTACCTGTGTTTGTTTGAAAAACAAAACTGATGGAATAACTGTAAAGAAAAAGGCAGGGGTAGGCACGGGGCAAGTTTTTTGATAATGCAACCTGGATATGCTTGAGAAAAAGTGATAGATCTAGTAATCACATCTCAGGTTCAACAAACTTGGACTCAGGTTGTTTGACACATAATCACACGAGGTGGCAAATACATCACCTGTGATCCAGCTGCCTCATGAGTTTTGAAAGTTTGTAAATATTTTATGGGCTTTCTTAAATAAAAATGTCATTTCTCGTGGCACTATGGCTCGTAAGAGTTTCAATTTCCACCTGGATTTTTTTGGTGTTGTCAATTTTTTGTTCAAGTACTCGTGGCATTCCTCTGATTTACCAAGGCTTACGATGCGGCTGGCAGCAGTAGAGACACTCTGGTCCTGTCCTTGTGCCTTGCATAAGCAAATTTTATGTAAGTAAAAGCATCTTTTCTTTTGGTGCCTGCACTAAAACAGGGAGAGGGGGAAGCACAGAAGTAGTCTACACATTGTTCTTGAAAACTGTACCATTTATTAAAGTGCAACCTGGGGGCATGGATCTTACAGCAGTGTCCCATTAGCAGAGGGAAAAAATGTACATACCCCTTCACTTCAACTGACTATAGAACAATGAAGCTGGGAAGAACTTTCTTTTAAAGGTGGAAACACTTTTATTAACCAAATGGCACAAGAAGCTTTAGACAGTTTTCCCCAAGAGGGCTGCACTTGCATATTAGAAGGAACAGTATGACGAGTTCCTGGGATAATGGGTGACTTGAGGACCAGTCAGGGTCTCTTCCCCCAGGCAGGCCTCTTGAGAACAGAATCCGAAATCCCTGCAAGTCTGTCACTATTTGCTTACACCCAGCAGAAGCCTAGTAGAAGATATCCCCTAACATGCAGCTTTAGTCAGTCCCATTAGTCTTTGCTACTTAACAAATCAAGTCCCATTAGTCTTTGCTACTTAACAAATCAAGTGGCATTCTTTTGGTCTGAGTTTGAATAAAAGCTTATACTGCAAGTATAAGCTGCTTATACTGCTTATACTGCAAGTTAAAAATGGGGACAGACCCCCTAAAGGTATAGCAGTAAGATGCATCCTCTGCAGCTTGTTCTGTCCACATTGATAGTGTTCCTTCCCTCCCCTGCAGATACTGCAGGGAGATCAAAGGCAGCTTCCACTGGAAGCCAACAGGAGCTCCCCCACTTCTACAGCATGACCATAGACCTCTGGCTTGGAGGAAGCAAGTCACCTACCCAAGAGACCAAGAGAGGGTCAGCTCTAAGTAGGAAAAAAAGTGATAAGTTATTTAACTTAAGGAAGTGGATCTGGGCAATGTTGTGTTTGTGGTTCCCCTGGACTTTACACTGCAGCTGACCCCTCTGAGCTGGTGCCATTCCCCAGCCAAGGACTGGGCAGGAGAGTTCACTCTGTCAGACACAAACTGAATTCCCTGCTCCTCTGGGCTTGAGAGCTCACTTTGCTGGAGTCAAGTAGTGGTGGCTTAAATTTTATAAACACCCCCCACCCCCCTTTTTTGTTATGGCAATACAGAGCTTGCAGTTTGAAGCACAGGTACATACATGGAGTCAAAGCAATACTGTTCTTGTAACCTCCCTAGTGCTGAAATTAAGCAGACCAAGCCAAATTAAAGTCATGCACAGCTTCTGCCTTCACTTGGTACAGGAGATACTGTGCCTCACCTCTCCACGTTTCACTGGGAAACACTTTCTCCTGTTGTGCTTCAACCTGAGCAGACACAAACAGAGCCTGGGATAAAACATTCTCCTGAAGCCTTGGGCATTCTGAAGCCCCTCAGGCATCGCAGCTGGGCTGTGTTCACCTCTCCACCCCACACCCCCCCATTTCACAGCAAAGGAACCTCATAATTACACTCTCAAATTCTGTAACAGGAGCTTGCTCTGGCTTAGGGAGTGAGACACGATGCTGCCAGAAGCACTTCTAGTTTTTTCTGCCAAAATAGCAAGATCTACCTTCCTAGGGCCTTCCTAGTACTGCCATATCACTGTAGCTGAAATTAAATGCTGGGAAGGTTTATAAGCTCAGATTATTTTATCTACTACAGTCATTAAAATGAAAAAAGACCAAACTCGAGAACCTTGCTTGTGACCCTTAGAAAGCATTGATTAGTTAAAAAATCCAGTCCAGTGTGTTAGGCTGGCTGTGATCAATGCTGTGTGAAAAGGAAGGAAGCAGGATTCTGGCAGCAGAACTTATCCTGTCTAAGAGCACTCAGCACTGCAGCTTTCACCTGGCCCTCGAGCTGCAGATGCCTGAGCGCAGCTTCCAGCCAAGAAGAAAAATCAAGCCCTCACAAACAGCAAGGATGGATTCCTTAGTACTAACTTGCTCTCCAGAAGGCATGTTAGGAAAGAAACAACCAACTGCAAACACCACCACAACAGGCACTTCACCTCCAGCCAGAATCTAAAGTGGTGTCCAAAAGCAGGTGCAATACTGAACAGAGACCACGCTCCCACTGCATCATCCGGCTCTGTGCCAGGAGCTTCCGTTTGGACTGGTGAGTACCTGGAGCAGCAGCTGCTCCAAGATTCACATCTTAATGGACAGAAGGCTGCAGAAGTGCTGCTTTCTTGGCTCCAGATTGTTTGGTTGGGCCAGCCCTAGCATCTCAGATTAAGTTGTTTTCTGTAGTTTTCAGCAGCCGAATTACCACCCTGAGAACCCCTCTCAGCACCCACCCAGGCAAGTGAAAACCAAAATCTTAAGTATTCAAGCTGCCTCTATGCCCAGTAATATTCCTGTTTCAGCCAGCTGAGCAGCTCAGTACTGTCATGCTGCCCCACCTCCAGACCCACAGCTGGATTTTGTGAGTCCACCAGGCTCCACCCCACACAGGGCAGCTACAACAGGCAGGGACGTGGCTCTGTGTCTGCACTTTGGGCTTTTGGGTAACAGTGGGATTCTGGGGTTTCGTCTTTGCTCCCAGCCTCTTGTTCCTGCAGTGCCAGCTGAAGAAAGCCCTTGGCCATCTCCCAGCCACAATGCCCAACTGAGCATAGCTTAGAATTAAGCACAGCTGAAATTTAAGTTGCACCTTATCTTGAAAGCCTTTTCCTTGACAGCTCCTTACTGAGCACGCTGCCCACTGCAGGTCATTAACTATTTACCACTTCTTTGTAGATCTCGTCTGCTGCTGTTTTAGCATCTCAGCTTTAGGGTGTGCTAAGGATACAGTGAAGACAGAATGGGTCCAAGGTAGATATTTTGTTAAGGTACAGGCCACTCGAGGACAGATATTGAGGCACTTTTGGGAAGGGGATATGCAACGCAAGTTGCCCTTTCGTAAGTATAGAGCTACTGCCTTTCCCTCTGCCAGCTACCAGAGATCCACTAAAGAGAGGTTACATCCCACCTTTTGGGTAGTTAGACCCTGCAGCGTAGGATTACTGCAATATACTTGAAGATGGGGGGGGAAACCCCTTCCATTTTCTAATTCACACCTCTGACAGAGCAGCCTGTCACTCAGGTCTGGAGGAACGCTGCCACCTGACCTTACCTGCCCTTTGGTGACTTCCACAGGGCCTGTCCCAGCTCTGACCACAGGACTCCAAATTCAGCAGAATTCAAGCCCACAGCTGACCTTTTTAACTAATGGAGTGTTCCCAGAGGAAAGAGACTCACAATGTCCCGAACATGTGGTCAGTGGGGTGGGGGAGAAGAGGGTACAAATTCTTGCTGACTTGCCAAATCTAAAAGACCCTTAGAGGAAAAGAATATTCCAGAGGAAGGACCAAGCAAAAACATACAGTGCAGCTGATGCTCCATTAAATGTGGCAACACACCAGATACTCAAGTATTTTCACAGTCAGGCAAAAGACTTAACGCAGTCACTTATTCCTTACTCCTGCTGCCACCTTCTCACTGCTGTGTGGAAGAAGATGCTTTGTATTTAATACCCTGCTGGGCTCCTTGTGCCAACAAGTTATGGACTTCTTCCCTAGCTAGCCTGGATTTATTCCTGTCCTCTACTGATCTCCCACACTAACACTGAAACAACTACATCCAGAGAAGAGTTAAAGTAAAACCAGCCCTGTCTGCACCCCCCCTTGATACACAAATTATCCAGTGTCCACAGAATCCATCTCTGCTTTAGAGTAACCTGCTGTGTGGCGACAGCTGGGGATGTCCCAGATGTAGGCTCAGTGTCTTCAGTAAGGAGAGGATGTAGGTCAGGTTCAGAACAGCCCTTTTCCCATAAAGAATGTTCCCCGACAAGAACCCAAAGCCATCAGCAAAGCAGCAGGAGAGGGGCAGCCCTATCCTGACTGACCAGGCAGGAAAGTGCAGCAATGAGACTACCAGGAAATGGCAAAGTCAATTCCACTTTGCAATATGATAAAGGGGTTTGTTTTTTTTCTGTTAAGGCCAAACTACTAAGTTTTGTATATGGAAAAAGAGCCATTAGTGATCAACAGGAAAGTCCAGAACTCCACAGCTCCCAAGTTCAGTCCACAGTGGCAGCACATACGTGACAACCTTCCTCTTAATATTCAACTTCTCACACACAGAGTTCAAAATCCAGTAAGTTTTCTAGAAAATCCATTCTCACAAAAGGTTAACCCAAAATAATTCCTCAGAATCTGATACGCTCTGACTAACTTTCCAGCATCTGGGATAGGAAAATGCAGCAAGAATATCCTAAAATAGAGAATATGCTAAAATCTCTTCATTCTGAGATCCCTCAAGAAACAGGCTCATCAGGAGATGTACCCTAGATAAGGTTATTTAGAAATAAAAGTACCTTGTCCTTGTGCTTTGTGAAGAGTAAGATTCCTGTAAGCTCATGTTTCAGTTTCTACATTATCGCGAGTTCCCCTTCACCTCCCTCCAGCTGGTCTAAGCCACAGTGCCAGCACCAACCTTCAGAGATGCATCCATAGTTCTGCCTGGAAAGCCCAAGGTCTTGCCCACAGAGCTGCAGTGGACATGGACAGACACAAAAACATGCTGAAAGAGGAAGGCTTGTAGCTGGATCTGACTAACGAGCATGGCAATACTTAAAATGTTTCTCTCCACACGCACCTGAAGAGTTGTGACCGCAGGAAGAGGGGTTTCCTTTCTGCCAAAGTAACTTTTCTCAGCATTTGTGAACCTGTAAGTTTAGCTGATTACAGATTCACCGCTGCAAAAGAAATCGCACTGACCAGCGCTCCGGGTCAGGTCAGGAACAAGCAGATAGAGGAGATGTTTAATGCTCTTTTGCTCACTAGAATCCATTGCTTTATATATCTGGGATTCTGTCACAGGCAAGACCAAGTTAGGACTAAATACACTCTGTGCTTAACTTGGGAAAGACGATGCAGACTGCAGCGTGACACAGGACAGCAGAGCGTTTACCGTTGAACGCACCCCGGAGATCAGAGCACTGATCCAAGCGGCACCGTGTCCAGCATGAATTTTGCACCTCTGGTAACCGAGGGGTCGCAGTAAGTGGGCCGGGCAGGAGGAAAGCAAATGGGTTCTCAAACCAGCAGTGTCCCTCCCACCCTCCTGGGCAGCACCTCTACCCCAGGAACACCAGGATGCTCAGAGATAATACAGCAATAGAGAGGCAGCATCTTCACAGGATGGGGCTCCAGTAAACGTTAGGGGCCAAAACCAGTGTGAGCCAAGAGGTAAAAAAAAGCACTGTCCCACCGGGGCTTAGGAGGAACCTGGAAGGTTATGAGGAGCAGTGCTGTACCTGAGAGGAAGCTGAGACAAAAGGGAGACCAGCCTCTCGCTACAGGACTCAGGTTGGCTAATGTTTGTTAGGAAGGGCTCTGGGGCGCGACGGGAAGTGACAAGACAGCACAGCTGCAATAGCGGTCAGTCTGAGAAGCCAAAAACTCCAGGGGTTGGCAGCAGCTGGCTCTCCCCTTCCCCTGGGGATTCTCTGTTCCAGTTCCTAGAGTATGAGCACCCCTTTCTTCAGCACCTGCACTTAAGTTCTTAAATTTGCAGAATTTTTTTTTGTTTTTTTTTTTAAAAATACCCCAGTACTTTAATCACGAAAAACCAGTCCCCGCCCCAATTCTACTAAAAACATGATTGTCCGTAGCTGGAGGCTTGTTGAACAACCTCACCCCGTCACCATTAAGTTACTCGAATGTCCAATTAAACAGCAGGCAGCTCAACCCTTAGGTAACACAACTACAAAAAAACTGGATGGTGCTCTCTTGTCTCTCCCCCCTCCTCCTCCTCCTCAAGAGAGCTCCGTTACTTTTTCCTAAGCGCCAGCGCTACTCCGACCGCTACAGCCAATATAGCCACGGCGGCAGCCCCGCCATACAGCAGTATCGATTTCCCTTCCGGCAATAGGATGGGCTTCTCCTCGGCAGCGGAGGATTTCTCTTCCGCTTCTTCCAAATGGCCCTCTTTCCCCACTTTTTTTTCCCCTGGAAGCAGTATTTTCTCAGGTTCTGGTGCAGCCTTTTCTTCTGACGGCGCTAACTTTGGGACAGGTTTACTTAGTGCGGGGATTTCAGGTTCAACAAGCTCTTCGGCCGCTTTTCCCTTTTCCTCCTGTGTTGCACGCAGAAGTGCAGAGGGATGTGCTTTTTCAACAGCAGCAACTTCAGCTGGAGGTTTTGCTTCCTGTAGAGAAGCAGAGGTTTCTGGAAACGCCGCCTGCATGGTCTCTGCAGCGCCAGCTGCCACCACTGCTTCCTCAATCCCCTCTGGTATCTCTTCCTTCTCCACGTGAACAATGTCGGAGTTGGAAGAGTTGTTCTCACTCCTCTCTTCACCCCCTCCGTTGCTGTCCAGGCTTTTGACTTCTTCAGGATCCATAGCCACTTGCTGCCAGGACTCGGGTCCCAGGGAGACTGGCAGGCTCTCCGTGTGCCAGCTCTGACTCGCCGACAGGGAGACAGGCAGGCTCTCCGACTGCCACGACGTGGTCACCGTGGGGGACTCCGGGGGGCTCACCTGGCCTGAGTTGTCACTGGTCAGGATGTAGATGTCATTACTGTCCTCTGCGATGAGCCCGGGGTACTCTTCCTCTTCGGATTCCAAAGTAAAGACTGTCCCCTACAAACAAAAAGGAAGACACAACATATGAGCCACGGCTTCAGCATTACCTCCCCTGTACAGGAAGGAACAGGACACCTGGAAACTTGAGCTGGAAGAAAGATGAGAGGGCTCTGCAGCTGCCTGACCTACATTTCAGTAGCTTACAGGACCCAGCTGGTCCAGCTGGCATTTCCAGAGAATGGAACCTCTTAGATGAGCTTTGCTGGGAGCTCCTCCTTTCCCTGACGTTACTGCATCGCCGAGTACATCACCAAAACACACCACTATTAACCAGACAAGATACTAAAATCTGAAACCAAACTGCAACAAAACAAAGCAAGCAAACACAAGGACGTGTGCCCAGCTGAATACAGCTGCCTTCTCCCTTCTGTGCACCCTATTGCTTGTCTGTTTTCATCCAACAGTGTTCCTCTTACGTTAATTTTATCCCATTTCCAGTGCTATCTGAATCCTGCATTTCTACTTTGTACCAACAAGCTGGAATATACAGTAATTCTAGTATTTTACTGCAAACAATTTTAGCTGTTCTTAAAATTAAGTTGTGTAGCCAAAGTCTTGAAAAGTTAAGTTGAAACAAACAACCAAGCACAGACAGGCAGAGATGCTGACAGAGTTGGCTTGCTTGTATTTAGCTCATTCCCCAGCAGTGACTGGCAGCTCCCAGCAAACTCCCCCAAGTTCACACAGGGAGCATGACATCCTATGGTATGGAATATCCCTTTGATATTACCAGTTTGGGTTAGCTGTCCTGGCCACCCTCCCTCCCAGCCTCTTGTACCTCTCCTTGCTAACAGAGCATGAGAAACTGAAAAGGGCTTGGTTTAGGGTAAGCGCTACACAGCCAAAACGTCAGCATGTTATCAACATTACTCTCATACTAAATCCAAAACCCAACTCTGTAGCAGTTACCAAGAAGAAAATTAACTATTCCAGCTGAAACCAGGACAAAGAGATGGGACAGAGAGGAACCCCAAAGTTTGCTATGCCACATAATAGAAGTCTGTGAAACCATTAACAGAGATTCAATAACTTCCTCGCTCATAACAAAAATATTTGAACATTCTATAAAGTACTGCAGTGCTGGGAGCCTCTTCTGTGCAAATTCCTTGTTCAATTATCAAGCTTTCCTGTACAGTCCATCATAACATGAAGAAGAAAATTCCATTCATTCTCTTTCTTTCTGCTCCCTTCTACATGCAATAGTTCTAAAGCATTCCAAGCAGTTGTCCCTCTTTTTTAAACCTTTCCAACACCAGTGCATTTGGGGGTGGACTGTGCTCCAGTTTCCTACCTACTGTTTCCCATTCCTCTGCACAGAGACACAAGACACACTGCAACTCCTCACTGCCCTAGAACGGGGAAGGATGTTCACACAGACAAAAAAACCCCACCAAAATCCCAAAAAGTGAGTTGGCAAACACAGGAGAGGCAGCAAAAAACACTGCTGGTCACTGGCAGGAGCTGTGATCAGAACACATGAAGCAGGGTTGGGATGTAAATCTCCTCAGCCCATGGAATTTCAGAATATATTTGGACATGGACAAAGGAATATTGAAGAACACTTTGAAAAGGAATTTTTCTTCATAAATGCCTTTAAATTGGTTGGATGTGGAAAACATCATCCAGCTCGGTAACATGTTCAGAAACTCTAAAGAGAAACGAAGCACTGAGTTCCTCAGGGAAAGGGTTAAAGGTGATTAAGCTGTTCATTAACTGCTTAAGGATCTCCACAAAGTCTTAATTCAGAATGAAATAAAAAAATGAATGAAATAATAAAGCATTACCTTTGTGAAAATTTCAGACACCACCCACATGCCAACAAACCCAAAGCAAGTTCTGCTCTGTGAGCAGTGACTGACAATTCAGGACTCTGGTACCCTCTTGAAAGTCATGTTTCACTAGAACAACTAATTTTTTTTAAATGCAGCTCAGGCCATTAAAATAAAATAGAGCTCTACACCCAGGGGGAAACAACCAGCATTGCAAAGGAAGGGCAGTGGTAAAGAAGAGGCCAAGAAACTGAAGTAAAGGCAGAGGTTACTGGATCCAAAAGAGCCCTGAGCCGTGTGGGCTGGGGCTGCTGTGCAGTGTGGGAGGACAGGACTCCACAGCAGCACTGCCCTGTCCTGCTCCAGCAGACACTGGAGAGCAGCACAGCAGGGAGTCAGTCACTGTCAGTCACAGCTCCCACCACTCTGTGCTGAGGATGGAGAGGCAGCTCGCTGCCCACTCAGACTGTACACTCACTCCTTTCACCATCAGGGTTTGCTCTGGATGTTGATTAAGTAAGAAATACTCTCACTGGAATATAAGCCAGTGCCAGACACCTCCTATTATAACATTTTTTATTTCCACAAGTGACACAGACTCTTAAGAGTGGCAATTAAACAACAAAATAATTAAGAGTGAAACCTGCAATCTCATGAACCTCTGTACTACCCTCCTCCCTGCTCAGCTCTACCTTTCCACAAATCAGAATGATTTCCCCTCCACAGCACATCACAACACACTAGGCCACAGTTGTGATCTGACGTTAGCAAAAAGAACAGGGACACCCAGCCCTGACAACAGCTCTGCTCTTGGCACTGCCCTGGGAGTGTGCCCCTGCTGCTGTGACCCACTCAACACGAGGCATACACAAAAATATTCCAAAACCACACTGTGCTGCTGCGGGTTTGTGAGCCCTGGCAATCGCAGCAAACTTCCATAATGAACTAAAAGAAGCATCACACAGGGCCATACTCAGACAGCCTGAATTCCCCTGCAGTCACGCCCTGTTCACTGGAGAAAGCCCAGAGGCTTTAAGCTGTGACTCAGCAGCCCATGGAGGGGAGGATGGAGCCACCTGTAGCCAATGGGGACAGTTGGGTACAGAGACTGCCATGAAATTTAAGCCATCCTGATGCTTCTTAATACGTACTTATTCCTTTAGCCTCTGCTTCTGCTCTCTTCCTGATCCACCACTCTTCACTATTCCCTTCCCTGTCATAAGGAAAATCAAAGGAAACCCACAGACAATTTGCCCATGATAAAAAAGAACAAGTAGTTTCACGTACATGTGGTACATAAAATACTACCACAGCTGTAATGTGGACCAGTAGCTGCCCAGGCCCAGAAAATATCTTTGCTCAGTATGACACGATGCCAGATCCTCAGCAAGTTGACAAACAGATGGGGAGGCAACACTGGTGTACAAGGATTGGGCATTAGTTATTCTGGTTATTCCCACATATCAAGGCATTTTTAAAATGTGCTTTGCTGGAGCACTTTCACTGGAGACACACTTCTCACAAAATACAAGTAAGATCTGGGCATATCCTGAGGGTAACACGCAGGATAAACTGTTTTGGAGAGTGTAAGGAAATGAAGGGGGGGGTACTACAAGAAACATGGGCAACCCTCAACATTTCAAATACTTCATTAATACATGTACCAACACCACACACATATCCTGCCTTAAGCAGAAGGGAGGAGGGCCAAAGGGGCTCAAGAGTGTTATTGTTCCTCTTCTCACGCAGGCTGCGCTGACCTCAAAAGAGTTATCAGTCGCTGGCTCCCTACAAATCAGAGCCTTATGCAGCCTGGCTGATTCCTTTCTGTCTTTACAGACAATTTAACTTCCGTGTCAGTGCCTCGGGGACACAACTCTCCAAGCCTGAAGCCAGGGCTGGCAAACCTGGGGGAGAGCTGAACGCCCCGAGTGGTAGTGGGTAATTCCACCGCTTTTTCGTTAAAAGCTTACGATTGAAAAGCCAGACAGTAATAGGCGTTATTTAGGATATGTGATTAATATTTCTTGAGCTGAATTAAGATTTAATACATAAAGTCAAGCGGATAAAGCCAGGATTTTGTGCCAGTTCAGCTGAGGTTTGCACTTCCTGGTGTTTTTTTGTTTGTTTTTTTTTCCCTTTTAAAGCAACTGCAATAAAAACTGAATGACATTCAGGACAATTCTCTTGATTCATCTACAGATGTGACCCAGAAGCAAAGCCCCAACAGGCAGATTATTTCAGGACAGGATGTAACATGTGGAAGGATTTTTAATAACTTGAGGCCTTATATAAGCCCTACACTTTGGATTTATTAGTAAGTACGAATGTATGTAAGCATTTCTTTATCTGCTTTGTTTATTGTAAATAGACAGTCTATTGCTTCAAACCAGAAAGATCAGAGTTGCTCTTTTTCAAATTTGCCACGGGAGACTTACAAACTCATCCAGCACACTTAGAGAACCATGTCAGGTGTGGCAGAGAAGCGTGGGTAAGCCCCTCACCACAGCATCCTGCCACTCCTGATCCCAGCCACTGCCACTTGAGGGAAGAGTGGACACAAATTGTGAGGAGGAGAAGGAGAACTGCATATTTCCTTTCTTGGCTAGAACATAACCAGAATGGTTCACAGCCCATGAGGCAGGCCTGAGGAAAAGATCAACAATTCTGTGGAGGTGGCATCTGCAGACCTAAAGAACAGAGCTACTGCAGTCAGACCCCACTGTCCTCAGCCCGTGGGGTCTGACTTGCAGAAAGTATTTGGACAAGTGACAGAAAGCACTCTAACAATTGTGGCAGGCTCACCCTCAGGACAGGCTGTAGCCACTATGCTACAGGGTGAGTTACACTGGACTACTCTAAACTGGTAACAAAATAACAAACACACATCTGAAAGCTCCTCCAACAAGCAGAATCCATCAGTCTGGATTTAGCTGTAGTCCTGACAGTGCCAGGAACCTGAACTTTGCTGAAAATCACTCTCAGCCAAGGATTCAGAACACTACCAGTCTTTGACATACAGTACAGAACTGCTCCTTAAAAAACACCTGTCAAGTTTCAATTATGACCTAAAGACAGCAAATGTAACAAAAAAAAAACCCAAACCACGACTTGGAAACTGACTCTTATGATGACTAACATTATTTCTCATAGTATTCTAATAGGTTGTTAAGGGTATACAAACTGACTTATTAACTATAGTAGTTATTTTTGCTATACAGCAAAAAC